AAGGAATAGAGCAGAGAAACATTAATCAATACCAGCCAGTTCAGGCTGAATCCTAAATGTTCTGAGGAAAGAAAGGCCTCAGCAGCAAAGGACTCATATTAAACAGGACCCCACCTCTTGCCTTCAATCCTGGCAATTCTGCTTTTACTTTTCAAATTTCATTTGAAAAAAGAGTTGTTTTATTGCTAAGAAAACTTTGAACACCACTGACTTAGAAACTCAAAGGTCTGAAGAGGCAAGAACCAAGTCAGTTATACTCCAGTCTGCCGTAGATAACCTTTACTAACATTCTCTGACACCAAAGTGATTAATCTCAGCTTATTTAAACCGAATATCTGACAAACAGCTATTTAGGTATCAGATCCTCCTATCAAGTTATACATATTACATAAATTTATTTAGCTCTGCCATTAAAATTTATTTTAAAAGTTACAGTTTAATGTTATATTGGGGGGGTTTTGTAACTGTCAACAGAAGAAAAGGCCATGGAGAGACTATCTTGAAATTCTATACATCACCGTGCTAAATCACTCAGTCGTGTCTGACTCTCTGTGACCCCCAAGGACTGTAGCCCAACAGGCTCTTCTGTCCAAGAGATTAGTAAGCAAGAATACTGGAGTGGGTTGCCATTTCCTTCTCCATACATTACAGGCTAAAGGCATTTCTATTATATTTGTCGATGTCTCTTAGAAAAGGATGTAAACAAATAACTCTTCTTAGTATTTACAGTCTAGAGATATGTGGATTTCTCTGATTAAAAACTGATTATCAAATTATATAAATCACCCTAACCCTCTATTCTTTGGGAAAGCCAAGATTCACGAGTTGCTAAAATTATCTTTCCTCTTTTGAAACATAATACAGTATTTCATATAGCCTTTATTTTGTTATGGTCTATTACATATAATCCTTTAAAGTAAGCTGCCTAAAATCCTTTTGTGGAAGTTGACAATGTATAAGAAATATATATATTAATGTTATTAATCCTACAGAAGAAATAGATTTCTCAGTTTGAACACAGCACAAATGAAAAGATAAAAGAATAAAAGAGACATTTAAACAACTGTCATATAAATTAATAGGATGCAATTATTGGTCTCTTTTTCATCTTAGATGAAAATCAATATACAGTATTAATTGCTAAAGGTTATAAGTCAAATGCGACTTCATGTAAACCATACAACTCAACAATTTCAAGTTTATACACCAGAAAATCAATTGTTGCTCATATTCTCTCCCATCCAAAAGGGCAGGAAGTAATGTTTTCCAGCTGCATTGCATAATTAATCTCATACACATTAGATGGTATCTTTGCAAGTCTTGAAATAAAACTGAATTCATCAAATTCCAACATAAACCTCTAAATTACTAAGCATCAAGAAATTTTCTCCTTGCTCTGAATATTTCATCTTAATTTATTCACCTTTCCATAACCGGTTTATGCCACTTATCTTGTGGGGGGGCTGTTCAGATTTATGAGGAAGAAAAAAAAAAGTAACTACACAGAAATGAGATCTAGAAAAGCACACCAGAGCTATGAAAACAGCCCATCCATCATCTCTACATTTTGATTCCAGAGACAGCAGAGAAAGGTGCTGTTTCCACACCACTCACCCAGCACACTTAAAAAGGTTTGCTCCATCACTTATACAGCTGAAACTGATTGATTAGCTGCTAGAGAAAAATCAATACAAATATCCTAGAAAACACTAGCGTGTAAATTCATTCTGGCCCCAACAAAGTCCTGGTCATCACTTGACATGTTTTTCTAGATATCTAAAATGCAACCACGTCAAACCCCAGTCCCTAAAGACTGTCATGGCTAGGAATTTTTAAAACCTAAAGCTCAGCACAGGTGAAGTGAGGGTGGGAGGTTTCCCAATGGTCTATTAGAACAAAGAGATGATACCCAGAAATTAACCTGGTAAATATCACACTCATAAGCAGACTGAAACAAAAATGAAAAACACATGAGAAGGTTAAAATAGTCAATGAAAATGTAAAAAAAAAAAAAGCTAGGAAACCAACAAAATATAAACTATATATATGTTTCATAAAAGGTAAACTAAAGTTTCTATTAAAAAATATAAAATTTGTTTAATGATATCCATTCAAAAGTTAGTGGGCTCCTTTTCCCATTCTTGGCAGCTGAACGTATAGTCAGTATATTTTTAGTACTTTAGGAAGCCACTTTATATTCAGAATGATTTCATGATTATTTCAGAATCTCTTCTGAATGTTCCCTTGCCTATGGGCTAGCACTAGTCTCTTCACTCATTAGATGTCTAAGAAATAAATGTTTATGAATATAAAATGTTCCATGAATATGCTATTCAGAAAGAAATTGTTATTGTATAGTCTATCACATGACAGGCAACCAGGGATGTAATCTTTATTCTACAACTGGTATAGAGATTTTCTAAAAACCATTTTGTATTTGTGACACATAGTCATTTAAAAATTTAAGAAAAAGTCAGAAAAGGAACGCAATTTTCAGTTGGGAAATTTAACTTGCACTGACATAACAGCTTTAAACACTAAAATTTAGTGACAGCGTATTTAGACTTTTCTTCTTAAATTCTCAAAGAACCATAATGTTTATTACTGATTATGGGAAAATTTAATAATGGAATAATGTAGAATTTAAGGGGCTCTGATCCTCTAAATATTCCTAATTTCTTAATTATTAAAGAATGAGATACACAAGAGTCACCAAAGAAGAAAAACGGGCTATTTCTACTATTACATTTAACTTCATAATTATTCTTTTCAATTTAAAAACTCACAGCAATTTTAAAAACTCATAGGAAGTCTATACAACCATTATGATACCAAGGCTTGTTGCAGAACAAAAGACGATGCTGCTAACTCAATGTCTTTAAAATGTGAGCTTATAGATTGCTATTTCCTCTTGGGAAATTATAAGGCCGTCCTTAACATGATTTTGCATTTGTCAAACTGAGAAAGCAAAAGGTGACTGTCATACTCAATGGTTCCTATCTGTAAAAGACATTCTTCATAAAACATATTTTAGAAGTAAAAGAAAATGTCTCATGGTTCTAATCATTAATGTTATAGATATTACAATATTCTCACTCAAAATTGGACTTCTCAAAAAAAAATTAGACTTCTCTTCTTCAATTTATTTTAAATTCCTCCAGTTTAAGTCACATGCCTTCTTTATGATAAGGGCACAACCAACGACTTCATGTAAGTTATCTCAAATTCAAACAACAAGCAACACTATATGTCACAGTAATGAGAAAACCATGACTTGCATACATCAAGTACCTTTGTCAGATCACGTGGCTGGAACCCAGCAGAGCACCGTTGTGAATTCAGACTATCCTATGGCAAAGAGCGTCAGATACTCACAACTTAAAATTCCCTAAACACACCAGCTTACCTAGAAAGTTAAGACCTTGGTATTTTAGTAACAGTTCCATGTATCAACCCATTGAGCCCATCAGTTCAAATATTAGCCTTCAATCAACAAGACAATAGAAAAACATTGTACTGCACACATTTCATTGGCGGGGTGTGGGGGGTGGGAAACGGGACTAACCAAGCACATATGTATCTAATGATGATGATGAAAGTAATATTAAATAAATCTCTTTTAATACTTTCTCTAGAAATAGCCCCTAAGTCACTGTTAACCTCTGATATATTCTTTGAGTCACTCATCTTAATCAGTAAACCCACTTGTAATTTGTATGCCTTCTAATCAGAGTTAGTGGATAGATCATACAGTTCTAATATCTCTGTTACTCAATAGATATAGGGAAAAACAAACACCAAGTAAGAATGCCAGCAAAGGATCATTTTTCAAACAAAGTAGGCTTCTGTACAAATTCATTCCCTTTCTAAAGAATCCTTAAAGTAGCCATATTGCAGAAAAGACAACCACTCAGACTTCTCTGATTAGTCAATTCAGCGGGTTCTGAAATAGGATAACTACAAGAGTCAATGAGTTTCCATTTATTTCTTTCAATACAAGTTGAATGTGAACAGAAAATGGGACTGTGCTAAGGATATAAAGTTAGGGGGAAAAAAATGTCCAGAAGTGTTGAATTAATCAAGAGTATTTTTCTCTTTGTTTTAAAGAACAGTTCAAATTCATGTTGATAAAAGCTTTTGACTAAATACGTGTGTTTGTAACACATACTTTCTGAGATTTGGGGTGTGAAGTACTGGAAGTAGCACTCTAAGTTACTTGCTAAAAGGAAAAGCACATTGTCAATAAGCATTAACCCACAAGATTATGAGACAATAGATTATCTCATGTTGGTTATAAAAACACACCAATGTTATATATACATACTATAAACAAAGACAAAAGAGGAAATGTATGGTTATGTGTCAACACAATTGTGATTCATGTTGCAAATGTCTTACTGTATGCTGAGAGATATCAAGGCAATGACATTTTCCAGCAAGTGATGAATCAGAAGTAGCTGGCCACCCACACAAAGAATTATTCTTTTTAGGACTCTATACCATTACCAATCTTCCCAGCTCCAACAGTCCTATGGATGAGCAGGGGTTATCTTTACTTGCTCAAAGTAAAATCCACCTTCTCTTTCCAAGACTCTTGATAATCGTTATTAGTTCTGTTTTCTAAATGGCCCAGAAGTTACCAAAGAGACAGAAATCTTTAAAAGATATTTCACTCAGTCCACAAAAGTCTAATTAACACACACCAGAAGGTCATGGCTTTCATTTTTATTTTTTTGCCTTTTCCATGAAATATAAAGACAGGTGATAAATTTCAAAGTATGTCACCTACCTTAGAGTCATAAGAAAACAGAAGAGTGGTGAAAGAAAAGTTATGCAAGTATCATAACCTGAATCTGACAACATCTTCTATTAGATAAGCTGAAACATTTGTAAACTCTTCAGAAAGCTAAACAAGCATAACCTAAAGTCAAGTTTTACTTAGAAGACTATTAAAATTTATTAAAGAGACTGAAATCACATAGAATTCTAGAAACTCTTACCTTGAAAAGACTGTTTGGCTCTATCTACTAATTCATCAATTGGATAACTGGCCAAATTTCCTCTGGCGTGTTTAGTTTTGCAGTAGGTACAAGCATTGAGACACCTGTTCAAATGATAGTGATAAATACAGTTAAAACCTTTAAAGACACTTAACACGGGGGGAAAATATCCAAAATATACACCAAACTGCTGTTTTAGTATCATTTGCCAGTTTATATAAGAGATATGAAAAATGAGTATCTACCAACCTTCACATTTTATTTCCACCAGGCACAGAAATCTGCAATTTGTAATTCTTTTAAGTTTCAACTATTTAAGAATGGTTGTACAAACCACATAATATTAACTTCAAATGCACACATTAATATGGAACAAAATTTATAAATGCTTAAAATGGTCACTCAAAAGAAAAAAAATTCCTAATTTTTAAACCAATGGAATTTATTTGGCTATTATAAAACTAAAACTTTAGTGTCACTTATATATACTGCATTATTCATAAATGAAAAAGTTTTAACTATTAACTAAAGAATAAATCAGCAACATAGAATTCTCATAAGAAAATACATTCTTAGTAATCTTCAGATAATATCTTTAACTCTTTGAAATCAGAAAGAAATACTAAAACAGGTCCAATGAATGCTCTTTGGGATTATATTAGTCAAAGAAACCAAATGACAACATTAGTTATAAAAAATTAAAAAAGAGAATTATCTCCCAAAATACATAAAGAGATGACAAATAATTGTCTTTTAATAATGAAAATGTTGGTTCTACTCTTATAAATTTAAAAATAGTTTAAATACATTTTATTATATTAAAAAAAACCATTGAACATAATAAAATATCCTTTTGCGAAAAATATAAGTCTCAGCAACACTGAACAAAACAAAGAATAACATCTCTTCAAAGATTCAACTGCTATAATAAATAGCAAGGTTTTTAAAGACTATCACTAAGAAAATGCTTTAAAATTTCTAACTGAGAAAAATTAAAATTCTAATAATTACAAGTGGCCAATGTGTCATTTTATTAATATATAATTTAAAAATACATATAAATCATATAAATCAGGAGGCAACAATGTAATGTTTAATTTATAATTATTTTTGCATGGAACTCGAGTAAACACATTTGTTTTGGTAAGGATTTTTAACTGTCTAACTGACTCCATACTCTTAAAAAACTAACATCCCTTTCTTTCTAAGCCATTTATACACACACACACAAACTGTGGTCTCTCATATGAACACAGGTTCTGGTCCCCCAACTGTTACATGTCTTCTCTTTTGAACTTTCATGTGTTCCATAATAAGGAAAAAAAGTAAGCTTTTTAAAAACTTCTTCTTGGAAGACTAGGGCTTCCCTTGTGCCTCAGCTGGTCAAGAATCTGCCTGCAATACGGGAGATCTGGGTTCGATCCCTGGATTGGGGAGATCCCCTGGAGAAGGGAAAGGCTACCCACTCCAGTATTCTGGCCTGGAGAAGTCCATGGACTGTATAGACTATGGGGTTGCAAAGAGTCGGACACAACTGAGCGACTTTCACTTTCACACTATGGAAGACTAACTTCCTTTTTTTAGCCCTGACTGAGCACCAGGCATTTTTCTAGACATTCTACATACATTATCCCATTTAAGTCTTCTCAAATTGGGTGTTGTTGTCTCCATCTTACAGATGCTTTGAAAAAGTTAGATAATACAGTTGATTCCACAGAAATACAAAGGAGCATAAGATACTACTGTGGCAACAACTACACACCAACTAGACAACCTAGAATAAATAAAACCTAGAAACATAGAGGTTTCTATGTTTCACAGCCCACCAAGACTAAATCATGCTCCCATTTACAACAGCATCAAAAACAATGAAATAACTAGGAATAAATTTAACCAAGAAGGTCAAAGATCTGCAGAATGAAAAGTTAAATACATTGATGAAAGAAAAATTTTTAAAAAGAGCAAAGCCAAAGGCAGCTCAACACTTAATTTCAAACTATACTACTAAGCTACAGTAATCAAAATAGTAGGTGCTAGTGAAAAAACAGGCATATGGGCTAATGTAAAAGAATTGCGAGTCTAGGAATAAACTCATGAATATACAGCCAACTAACATTTGACAAAAGAGCCAAGAATACTCAATACAGAAAAGACAGTCTATTCAACAAATGGTGCTGGGAAAATTGAATATTCACTTGCAAAAGCACTTATTATATCACTGAGAAGAATTAACAGAAAATGAATTAAAGACTTAGATATAAAATCAGAAACCATATAAATTACAATTACAATTAAATGTAAAACCAGAAACTCCTAGAAGAAAACACAAGGGAAAAGTTCCTTGACATTGTTCTTAGCAATGATTTTATTTTCGGATATGACAACCAAAGCACAAATACAGAAGCAAAAATAAACGAGCTGGACTACATCAAACTAAAAAGCTTCTGCACGGCAAAGGAAATCAATCAACGAGATGAAAAGGCAAACAACAGAACGGGAGAAAATATTTGCAAACCACGTATCTGATTCAAAACAAGTGATTCATAATATGTGATTATTAGTCCATAATTCCGTTCCATTTAGCCCCTCAGTTGTGTTAGACTCTTTACGACCCCATGGACTGCAGCATGCCAGTCTCCCTGTCCATCACCAACTCCTGGAGTTTACCCAAACTCATGTCCATTGAGTCGGTGATGCCATCCAACCATCTCATCCTCTGATGTCCCCTTCTCCTCCTGCATTCTTTGGCACTGGAATGAAAACTGACCTTTTCCATAATATGGGATTCATAATATCTGATTAGGGGTCAATATTCTAGATATAAAAATCCTCATACAGCTCAATAAATAATAATTGAATATTAAGATGGCCGAAGACTATGACTAGACGTTTCTCCAAAGAAAATATTCAAGTGGTCAACAGTCACAAGATACTCAAGATTCCTAATTTATCAAGGAAATGCAAGTGAAGACCACAATGAGATAGCATCTCACCCCTGTTAGAATGGCTATTATCAAAAATAACAAGAGTTAACAACACCTGACAAAAGGAAACTTGTGCACTATTGGTGAGAATATAAATTGGTATTGCTAGCATGAAAAACAGTATAGAGGTTCCTCAAAAAATTAAAAATAGAATTAATATGATCCAGCAGTTCCATTTCCGGGTATATCTCCAAAGGAGATGAAATCACTATCTCAAAGAGGTACCCACAACCTCATTTTCACTGCAGAATTACCTGCAACAGCCAAACATGGAAATCAACCTGTTTCTTCAACAAATACATGAATGAAGAAAATGTGATACATTTATATAAGGGATATTTCTCAGCCATTAAAAGAAGGAAAAACTGCCATTTGCACCAATATGAATGGATCTTGAGGACATTATGTGAAGTGAAACAGTCAGAGAATGAGAAAAACTGCATGATCTCATTTTTATGTGGAATTCAAAACCAAACAAACAAAAGCAAAACAAAAAACAACTTCATAGAAATAAAGAAAAGATTGTTGGTTGCCAGAGGGTGGGATTTGTGAGAGGTGGGGAAAAAGAGTGAAGGTGGCTTAAAGGTACAAACTTCTAGTTATAAAATAAATTCTGGGGGTGTAATGTATAGCATGATGACTATAGTTACCAATACTGTATTGTATATCTGAACAGCAGTAAGAAAAGAGAATTGAGAAGTTCTCATTACAAGAAAAATCTGTAATTATATAAAAAGAGGAATATTAACTTAATGTGGCAAACATTTCACAATATATACATGTATCAAATATTTATGCTTTATGTCTTAAGCTCATAGAATATTATATGTCAATTATAATCTCAGTGGAACTGTGGTGGCAGCGCAGGGGGACCAGAGTCAGGTAAGCGGCTTGTTCAAGACATCTAACAACTAAAATTCAGAACACAGGTCCATCAGATTTCAAATTCCCTCCTATTGCCATAACAAGCTGCCTCCCCAGAGTAAATGCGTTTCAAATATCTTGTGTGTGCGTGCTAAGTTGCTTTAGTCGTGTCCAACTCTTTGCAACCCTATGGACTGTAGACCCCCAGGTGCCTCTGTCCATGGGACTCTCCAGGCAAGAATATAGGAATGGACTGCCATGACCTCCTCCAGGGGAGCTTCCTGATCCAGGGATCAGACCCTCATCTGTTACACCTCCCACATTGGCAGGTGGGTTCTTTACCATTGGTGCCACCTGGGAAGCCCATCAAACACCTCGCTATAGACAAATGCAGATGAGACATAATAAGCAATCATCTGCCATGAGGTGTAAAGTGATGCAGCACGGACATTCAAAGACACAGCCGGTGCTCACCATCTCGTGTTTGGAAAAATAAAAGTGCAGTCACTCCGTTGTGTCCAACTCTTTGTGGCCCTGTGGACTATAGCCTGCTAGGCTCTTCCATCCAAGGGGTTTTCCAAGCAACAGTACTGAAGTGGGTTGCCATTTCCTTCTCCAGCGGATCTTCCTGACCCAGGGTTCAAACCCAGGTCTCCCTCATTGTAAGCAGGCCAGGGAAGTCCTCTTGTGTGTGGAATTACTTGTCTGAAACCCGTTTCTCTTTCATTCTTTGGAAATCTCAGGCGAGGCTTCCTGTCCATCCACTGGCCCAAACTAGTTATTTCACCCTTGTTTATAAGAGTTCTATTTTCACCTTACAGCTGCTCTGTGGCAGAATGCGTCACTCTCTTGGTCTTGCCATGGCTTTTAAATTCTACAGCTAAGGTCCTACAAGCTGAGTGCTCTCTCTGCCCCTCTCGCCAGTGGCTCCATGATGGGCTCGATGCAGCGCACTCCGTATTCATCCAACCAGGATCCCTCTGCCATTCACTCAAGTTGAACCAGCACCCTTCCAGGGAAAATGCTCTCTACCCCCTGATACTACTTCCCCTAATCTATTTTTCCTGACCCATTCTCTTATTTCTCCTACTCCCAATGCAGACCTCCATAAATTAAGTAGACAATCTCAACAAAAGCTGATACTATTTCTAACCTGGGCTATTTCTTAGAAATAACTTTCTTAAGGGACACTAGCCAAGGGGAGGGGAAGGAAAACAGAAGGGAAAAATGCAATTTAAGTATATATAATATAAATG